TCAACTACAGATCTTATGTAAATAATTTTATACTTTCAGGTTGATTTTCTTTAGTGGCATGTCAACACTTCTATGGGTTATTTAATGTCGAAATCTAAATATTTCATATGTAATTTTATGCTCTCAACTACAGATCTTTTATAAATAATTTTATACTTTCAGGTTGATTTTGGTTGGTTGATTTTCTTTAGCGCCATGTCAACACTTCTATGGGTTATTTAATGCCGAAATCTAAATATTTTGTACATAATTTTATACTTTAGGAGTAAATGTATGTTTTGTAGATATATAGTTTATAATTGAACTATTGTAGGTGTTACGTTTTAATACAAAGTAAACCTATTTCTTTAAAGTAGGACATTGTTGATAGACTCAATATTTTAAGATGTTTTTTTTATTGTTTTCCTTAAGTACATTCAGTTAATTTGGTTATCTTTGTTTAGTGGCATATCAACACCTCTATGGGTTCTTTTTAATGCTGAAATCTAAATATAAAAATTCAAAGTTATAATCAATTCAAGACAATGACAATATTAAATTATGGTTAAATTCTAATTATTTATCAGCATTTTCTTTTATACCAAATAATCTTAATTAATAATTAGTTTTAATTAATAATCAAACAAAGATTGAAAACTTCTGGTTACAAATTAATTAAATTAAACATGGCAAATTAATTTTTTTAAATTGTTTGTACAATGTATGCTATGTTTTCATTTTTACTATTGAAATGTATTTTTATTACTTTAGGAAAACATAAAAATTTTTTATTTTTTTTTTTTGCTTAGGGGGTTCACTATTTATCCATAGCTGGGACCCTAACAGGTTCTACAATCCCAGGGTGGACCTGGGAACAACAGCAATTAAGAGGTGGTTCCATGCTTCTCAAAACCTCTAACTTCAGTGGGATTGCTGCCGGATGTAGTTTATCATCATACCCAGGACTATTAAATAATTGAACTTCTATCTGATAAACAAACCAAATTTGGCTTAATGAATATCACCATATTTTTTGTTTTTGTTGGGAGGGAGGTTACTATTTGCACATAGCTGAGACGCTAATATGTTCTACCATCTGAGATCAGGGTGGACCTGGGAACAACATCAATTAAGAGGTGGTTCCATGCTTCTCAAAACCTTGAATTTCCTGATCAGAATGGGGTATATGACATGAATAAAAGAGGAGGTGGATAAGGAGGATAGATAACGAGTGACTCTTGATTTGAAGGGCTTAAGATTGTAGTGTTCAGCGACACATCCATATTAAAATTTGTCCTACAAAGTTGCAGTTCTTAGGAGAAAAAACTGAGTGGAATTTTTTTCTTATATTTAAAATAAGGGGGTAATGAGGCTGATTAGACTTCATGGAAGTAGCAGGTGATGTTCTAGCTGCAAAGATGTGAACCAAAGAATAAAGTTCATCCAAACATTTGCCATGGAAATAGCAATGAAATCACGATTTAGATAAACATTTCTTAGGTAGCTTTATGAAAAAACTTTTCATAAACTTTGAGCCACAACAATTGCTTTTCAATTACTGCAGCAAGACAGAAAAATACCACAGAAAACTTATGACGACTGCAGACAACCTGAAGAAAAGTAAAGAAGGTGTAAAATTCTTTCAAAGTAAAATCCTCATCTTTGCTTGAATTGTTAGCTGTTTTTTTATTGGAATCAAGATTTCAATTTAAAATTAATGAAAGATAATTCATTCCTGACCCATAAAGATCCCAACTAAGACTAAATTCAGAAAAAAAAGCAAACAAGAATATTAGCAAACTTGGACCTAAAGAAAATTATGAAGTGTCAAAAGGATGTTTTTTCCCTTGACACTGCTATTATTTTAACTACCTTTACTCCTCGGTAATGTTTATTGTTTTAAAAAGCGACGATTAGAATTTTAGTAAAAACTAAACATATGATGAAAGTGAAATTATATATTTTTTTTTTTTAAGCATTTCACCCCAAGCAAGGCAGGAAGCCATTAGCACGCAAGGGGTTACAGAGAGTTGGAACTAGAGCAAATAGGAGTGATAGAGGAAAGGATGAAGAGAAGGTTAGGGGCATCTGGAGACGTCGATTGACATTACATTTGAATAGTTGGAGATTATAGCTATCAGGGAAAAGAATTTGCAATAAAGATAATAAACACTATTTATTTATTAGATTATTTATTTACACATATTATTTATTGGAATGGTTGGTAAAATAATGGCTAATTTCTAATTGATTTAAAATTTATTAAATAGTAAATAAGGATTTTCTGATACTTCACATATTTTAATAATCTAGTAAATGTTTATAAATTTATGAATGAAAAATTGTTTTCATATTTATTTCTTTATAAATTGGTAAATGATAAATAATGCATTGCATTAGTTTTAACTGTATAAGATTTTAGAATGTTGGGAATATAAAATTATTCTTGTAAATAAACAATCTAATGAAAAAATTGTGTTTATTATTTTGTTGGTAATTCTTAAGAACAAAAGCAAATGTA